CAGGGGAAAAGCAGATGCTATAGATCTGTGGAACCTTAGCCCTGGGCCCTACTTCCCCCAATTCCCTTTCCCTTCCAACAGAGGGGTCTTCTGACACATTTTAGATATGTAGGGTACCACTGCATGGGCCAAGTGACCTAGGTGTTCCCAGGAAGAGATGAGGCATATGTTGTCTGTTATTACTTAGATAACCAGCTCTAACCTTCACATGGAGCTCCCAGCATCTATTTATTTAAGACTGAAATGTTGCCCCAGTCTGACCATTCTGCACAGAGAGGTGCAGGGTCCTGTGACAGAGCCTCTCCTCTGTTCCCAGGGAGGCTGTGAAGAAGCACGCCCTCTTCCGGCGCATGTGCAACAGCTTCTTCGTGGACCTGGTCTCCACCATGTGCTTCAAGGACAACACTCCTCCTGAGAAGAACGTAATCGACAGCTTGCTGTCTTTGCTCTTCATACAGAAGGGGATCCTGAGAGAACCCGCTCAGAGTGAGTGGCTTTCTTCCTGTAGCCCCAAGCTCGGTTCTTCTCCCCCTTGTGCTGTGACTGAGCCATGGCTTCTACTCTCTGGCCACAGGGCACCGTGAACACACAAAATCTCTTTCCCCATTTGATGATATTGTGGATAAGACTCCCGTCATCCGCTCTGTGGTGCTAAAGCTGCTGCTCAAGTACAGGTAGGTCCAGCTCACCAGGAAGTTCCTAGAACTTTAGCTTATTTGTATGTTTGTTTGTTTTTGGTGGAACCGGGGATTGAACTCAGGCCCTTGCACTTGCCAGGGAAGCGCTTATTCCACTGAGCCATCTCCCCGGCCCCTTTAGCTTATTTGTAAAACAGGATTTTTCAGATGATAAATGCTTGATGTCACACACAGGATCCTGAGGCTAGAGATGTAGCTCAGGGGTGGAGGGCTTATCTACTGTGTGAGTGTATCTGATGCAGTGGGGGAGAAGAAGTTCATTTAAATTGTGATATTGACTTTAATGTAATTGACTGTGAAAACTGCTCTGACAGCAGTGTCAAGTTCCACAACCAGTGTTTAAAAACAGTTGCGTATCAAGTCTTGATACAGTATCAAGGAAGAATATCCACGGTTAGCTGCCAAGACAATGTGTTCCTCCTTTCCTAACTGTACCTTATTGACTATATCATGTGTGAGGGCAGAATTTCTTCATGTGCTTCAGTGCTGCAGAACAATTGAAGTCAGAAGGAGGTGTAGGAAATCTGATGACTTCTGTTAAGCCAGGCATTAAAGAGATTTACAAAACAAATTTCTAAAAATGTTACTTATTTGAGTATGTAACAGGTTGTTGTCATAAATGAATTGTTAAGTATTTTTGAAAGTTTTTAGTTTTAATTTCTAATAGCATTAGGTTTTTTGTTTTGTTTTGTTTTGGTTTGGTTTTTTTTTTTTTTTTTGGCAGAACTGGGATTGAACTCGGGCCCTTGCACTTGCCAGGGAAGCGCTTATTCCACTGAGCCATCTCCCTGGCCCACACTATTAGTATTGATAGGTATAATCCATGTAAACAAAAGAACCTCGTGATTATCAACAATTGTTTGTTTTGTTTTGTTCAGACTAAACAAAATAGGGTCTCACTATGTAGTTCAGGTTGGCTTTGAGCTCACTTTGTAGCCCGGGCTGTTCTCAAACTCACAAGGATCCTCCTGCCTCAGCCTCCCAAGTGCTGGGATTACAGGAGCATGCTACCATACCTGGCAACAATTGTTTTGGTTTTGTTTGCTTGTTTGTTTTTGGTGGTACCAGGGATTGAACCCAGGACCTTGCACTTGCCACTCAGGACTTTGCTCTAACAATTGTTTAAGATAAAAAGTTGTTATGCCTCTGAGAGGATTTTGAGTCTAAAACAAGTTTGAATGCAGCCTTTATAATATATGAAATTTCATATATCAGTAGTTGTGCTAACATATTTTTGTAAAATTAATGTGATAGATACATGACATCTTACTTTTTCATTTCTGGGACAAAATACTGGACACCTGTTGGTTAAAGGAAAAATTTATTTTACCTCAGTTTCTAGAGGTTTCAGCTCATAGTCTGCTGGCTCCAGGGGAGGGTGGCATGACAGAGAAAAGGAGCTCCTGGCGTGGCAGGTGGGAAATACCAAGACTTCCTTCTTCTTCCCCTTTTTATTCCGTGCGTGCTGCAAGCCTATTGGTTGGTACCGCCCACAGCCAGGGTGGGCCTTTCCTCTTCGGTACATCCACCATCCACACCAAGAACTGCATTAAACCAGTCCATAGACTATCAATGTCACATACCCCTGCTCCGATACCACACACATGATCCAGTCACTCCCCAAGGCCCCACCTACTAGCACATGTGGCTTTGGGGGACATCTAGATGTGAGCCTTAACATGTAGTATACATTTACACATAACCCAGATGGCCAGGTTATAGATTGATAACTGCTTTCTTTTGTAAGGTAAGTCTCGAGATCCTGTGTAACTGGGAATAATAATTCTTTTTTCTTTCTTTGAGGGGGTGGAATAATATTTTTCTGTCCATAGCTTTCAGGATGTGAAGAACTATATTCAGGACTACCTGTCCCTGCTAGAGAGCAAAGCATTCATCATGGAAGACAAAACTGAACTGTACATGCTCTTCATCAACTGCCTGGAGGTAAGCTGGCTGTCGCTTCCCTGGGTCCCTTTAGCGAAGTATCTGCACAGTATAGTTCATGCAGTGAAAAACTGTTGAAGGCAAACAGCATATTATTTTAGTCAGTACAGTAATCAGGTGCTCTGCTTCGGGGGATGGAATTCCTTAGCTCTAAGCATCTATATATGTAGTCAGGAGGTGGTACTCCAGCCACCTCCTGCTGCCAGTGAGATGACCCAGCTGTCTTGTCTTGTGTAAGGGTGCTCTGGTATGTGCACAGCCTTCCCCTAGCCATGCCTTTCTCAGATGCTACTTGGTGGTTGTGGGATACAGGGTGTGAGGACATCCATTTGTGTATACACAAAGAACACACAGCCTAGGCGAAGGCACCACTGAAGTCAACAAAGATTATCAATACTGTCATATTTTTATTCCCAAAATGTTTACAGTGCATAGGAAACAAACTGGATGATACAAAATTTTTTTCTTTCCCCTAAAATAGAAAAGGATGTTAGTTTTTCATGATTAAAAAATTTACATGCAGATCTCTGATTTTTTGTGCTTCATTTACCTCTGAAGAAGCCTGCAGTGTGATACTAGAAAAGGGAGGGCTTGCCTCTTAGAAAGAAATGTGTGCCTTGCTTTCTTGTTTTCTGTTTCTTAGGATTCAATGCATGAGAAGACCAGTGCTTTCGCCAGGAACAGTGAGCTGAGCTACCTGAGAGACGAAGGCAATTTCCTCCAGTTTTGCTCCTTTAGAAAACCTGACTGGGAATCAGCCGCTGTGACCCCTGTCGAGTACCTGCAGGAGTTGGCCAGGATCCGCCTGTGTCTTGACAGGGCTGCTGACTTCCTCACGGAGCTTCCTGAGCGATCAGGCACGTCTTCACTCTTAGCTCAGGAAATAGGAGAAGCCCCCTCTGAAGGCAATCCTCCCAGGGCGTGTTCTGCATCGTAAGTCCTCACGTCACTCTTCCCCTGTCCTTTCAGAGCTGACTGAGGAGCGGCAGCGCTACCTGCAGAAAGTGGAGCAGTTCTGTGTCAAGAGTGGGAACGACTGGTACCGTGTGTACCTAGTGAGGAAGCTCTCCAACCAGTGTGGGATGGACTACGTGCAGAGCTTCTCCAGGCAGGGCCACCCCTGCCGCTGGGTGTTTCCCAAGGAAGCCATCACGGAGCAGGTGTGATGTGGGTCACCTGGGGCAAGGGGGGCCCTGCAGGACACCCAAGCTGGAGCTGGTGCACCCATCTGCTTGCTGACCCCCATTCTAGACTAGAGACAGGCATGTGTCTGTCCGATCTTCATCTCTGTGTTCCGGCACAGATTTAGATCTCTTGCCATGTGACAGGGTAGGCATGCACACATGTGCGCACATGAGTAGTGTGTTTCTGGGTTTCTGCATACTTGCAGCATTTATGTGAACATCCTCCTCATCAAATTAGACATGCAGTAGAAGAATCTTTGCATGGCCTTTGCTTTGAGCAAACCAACAGTGGCTCCACTTGCAGTGTGGCCATTGTAACCTCTGCCAGGCAGAGACAGGAGGCTTGAGACAGACACACAATTGCACAAAGTTTGGCTTTAGGCCCTCTCAGCTTTCTTTGCTGGTACTCAGAAATTAGAATGGTCTTACTGCCCTGGGGTTACAAAATGGCACTACAAGTCCTGGCATTTTTAGCAACTGTAGCTCAGAGGTGACAGTGGCATATTTTGTGTCATCTGGGCTTAGGGTGGTGCTGTGAGTAGAAAAAGCCACCAGCTAGAAAGTGAGCATGGCTCCCCGTAGACTCTTCACCCACTCCAGAGTCTGCTCTCTCCCAGACAGCCCTGGCCTGCCATGCATGGGACACTCAGGAGTATCTTTACCTATGGTGACAGTTCCTTGCCCTGTCCCCTCTGAGACTAATTCCTGTCCTCTGGGGGTTGCAGAAGGATGACCTCAGCCAGATGGATGGATACCTGGTGTATGATAACGAATACAAGGCCGTTCGTGATGCTGTGGGCCATGCCATGCTTAAGTGCAAGATTCCGGGCATCGGGACTGCTCTGATGGTAGGCTGGGTCAGGCCCTCTCGCCAGGATGGTGGCCCTCTTGGAGTGTGCCTGTTGACTGCTTTATGCACAGTGGTACAGGGCAATGCACAGGAGCAGGGAGCAGACCCTAGAGGGACATTGTTGTCAAGAGTTCCAGTGGCCAGAACAGGGAGCAGGGACAGCTATATGGGGCTGATTGGTTACTTCCTTTGAGGTCCTCCTGAAAATTCATTTCCTCCGGGATCCTTTGATGTGAAAGATGCTGAGTCCATACCTGTGTACAATCACAATTCATATTTATATTTTATTTGTCTGCTTATTTTGATAAAGATGCAGCATTTTTAGATTTCTTTCAAATTGTTATAATCTTGCTTCTTCTTTGAGTCCCTCTTAGCCCTGGCAATGGTGGGAAAGAGGAAATAGAAAAGCCTGCTTCAGTTCAGGAAATTTTCCAAGACCAGAGAAATAACCAGAAAGAGAACAGATACTGATTTCTATACCTTCTGTCATCACCTGTCTGGTCAACATGCAGAGTTTGATCTGAGAGTATTTAGTGAACCTTGCAGCCAGAGTTCTTTTCCGAGGTGAAGATCCCCAAGACATATGGTCCAGGGGTCTGCAGCCTGGGAAAGGTGTTCTCTCCCTTGGTAGTGTAAAGACTGAGTCTGTGTTCACATGCAGATCACACTGGACCCTGGCCCTTGGGTAGAGGTTTATAACTTTTTCAGGACTGGCTACTGAACCCAGAGCCTTCATACTGAGCTACATCTCCAGCCCTTTTTTGAGAGGATTTCACTAAGTTGCCCTGGATGAATTGGTATTTGTGCACTCCTGTCATGGTCTCCAATACTGCTGGAATTGGAGGTGTGCATAAGCCCTGTACCTGGTGATTTCTCACTTGATACCGCTCCCTTGGCAGGCCTGCAAGAGCCCAAGGCCCCAGCAAGCTGTCTACTTATTGCTTGCCCTGTACAGAGAGGTGGCTGCCCAGTTCCGCTCCCAGAGTACAGACCTCCATCCTAAGCCAAAGGTAAGTGACCATCTTGAGGGCTTATGTGAGGAGCCTTATAAAGAGAACTTTTTTTGAGGGGCTGGTGAGATGGCTCAGTGGTCTAAAGCACCTACTTAGAACAAGCTTAGCAAAGCACAGGTACCCTGGTGGGCTGAGCTGGCCACACACACACACATAAATAAAAATAAAAATAATAAATAAAAATAAAAATAATTTAAAAAAAAAAAAAGAACTTTTTTTGAATACAATCAAAGTCATAAACACAAATTATGGCCCTAATTTTTACCTAAGATATAAAACCTTGTTATGCGGAAGTGCTATTTTGTGTTTATCCCAAAGCTTACAGAATCATCATCATCATAAAACAAAAGCCGAGGATGTAAGCTAGGGGCCAGTGAGATAGCTCAGCGGACTAAAGCACCTGCTTAGGCCAGCACAGGGACACCTCGTGCCATACCAGCCCTACTCCCAGGGCGGGGTGAGCCAGCCAGAATGTGGGCACAGTACATGCCTATAATCCCAGCACTGGGGAGGCTGAAAGCAGGAGGATCACCATGAGTCCGAGCTGCATAGTGAGACCCTGCAAGAACCAAATACATTAAAATAATAATAATAATAAAATAATGCAAGCTAATGTTTACCAAAATAGTATGCAAAATACTGGGCTTAGATTTGTGGTTGCTGAGTTTCTATGTGAAAAATTCTTTTTCTGAAGTGTTTCCCCTCAACTGATGATAATTTAGTCATTTTTTTAAAAATTTATTTATTTAATGTGTGTGTGTGTGTGTGTGCCCAGCTCAGCCCACCAGTGGGCGGGGCTGGCCGGCATGTGGTGCTCGGGGATTGAACCGCGGTCCCTGTGCTTTGCTAAGCTTGGTCTAAGTAGGTGCTTTAGACCACTGAGCCATCTCACCAGCCCAATTTAGTCATCTTTAACTTGATATTTATTACATATTTGGTATCAAAATGTGTGCCTCACAGAGGGCAAGCCTCGAATTTCCAGGCCTCTGTGATATAACCTAATACAAAAAACACGTTTCCTGCCAGCAACGCGAAGTTATGAATAAATTCATTGAGGAAAGTAAACTCCTTTCTGCTGAGACCCAACACTTGGCCACAGCCCTTGTGAACAATACCCTGCCTCTGCTGCACATGGGGCCTCGTGCCAGCAGCCTTGAAGGAACAGTGGTGGACATGGCCATTCATGCTGCAGCCATCCTTCTGTGTGGACAGAACATTGCTTTAAGGCCCCTAAGGAATTTGGCCTTCTCCCCAGCCAACATGCAGGTAAGACCAGACTCTGACTGCTTTGGTTTTCATGGTAAAAACTCAGTGTTTTGTCACTACTGTAGAGACCAAGCCTGCAACTAGGGGACTGTTGAATCTGTTGGTGTTCTGGTTTCTCTCTACCTTCCTGTGCTGCTTTGCATGTGGTGTATGTGTACGTATGCTCCGTATGCTTTGCCTGTGGCATATACTCTGTCACATACACCTTCCATGCATTCTGTCTAAATCACTTTGGAGGTGGAGAAGAAATGAGAAGTTAGTCTGCAGATGCACCATGCTGCTAAGAGAAGGCAGTTACATGAGGTTAAATATCACATAGGTGTCTAACCTGAGTATCCTGATATATCAGTCATTTAGAGAGCAAAATAAGGGCCAGCCAAATGAAGCAGATGCAGGGGCTGGGAGTTCAATCCCCAGGCCTGCCATGCTGATGCCACCCCATGGGCCAGAGGAGTTAAAACAGCAATTGAAACTGGGCATGATGGGTAATGCCAGCACTTGGAAAGCTGTAAGCAGGAGGATCACTACAAGTCCAATCTATGTAGTGAGACCCTGTACACCCTGCAGACCCTGTCCTAAAATTAAAAAAAGAAAAAAAAAGAGCAAAATAAGAGCGAGATACAGCAGACAGGAAGGTAGACTCAGAATGGGAAGAGGCCTAGGGGAGGAAGACCAAAGTGGAGTGAAAGGTAAAGGGAGCAAAAACATGATTAAGGTGCAATATGTATATAACATAACAGTTTCCCCAGATGAATGCAATTAGTATATTACAAATATATGCATAAAAGTACATTTAAGGCCAGGGAGATGGCTCAGTGGACTACAGCGCTTCCCTAGCAAGCACAAGAGCCTGAGTTCAATCCCTGGTTCCACAAAGAAAAAATAAAAATAAAAAATAGAGAGGGTTACTTTTGGGCCAGGTAGATAGCTCAGCAGCATTAACGCCTGCCTGGTAAGTGCAAGGTTCTGAGTTCAACTTCTGGTACTGCAAAAAAAAAAAAAAAAGAAAACATAAAAGAAAGAATGAGAATCGTACTACCCGGCTGTCGGCCTCTAGCAGCCAGGCAGGATGCCCACTCCTCTGGCCTCTGCCTTTGGTTTTGCAGAATGCTTACCTTCCAACCATGCCTGAAGACCTGCTGGCCCATGTCAGGAAGTCGGGGTGCCTGGGACCTATCTACTGGTACAGTAAGTACAGCGTGGAGCACAGTCCTTGTAGCTTTGAAGAGCAGCTTTCAGCCACACTAGAACTTGAGTTGGGCCTACGTTCCCCCTGGTTCTGCCTGAAAGTTCACAGTCACTTTTCCACATCCTGCCTTTGGCAGCCTGCAGAGTATGTGTGGCTTGAAGGATCTTGTGCTCTGTTAGGAAGAGAGTTCAAATCTTTCCACTTCTCCATCATGGGAAGGGAACATGAGCATGGGGTTCTCCTCCCTGGAACATACCGGCTGAGGAGAGGGACTTGGAACTTCTCAGAGGCTCACTCCAGGGCCAGTCACAATGCAACAGGTTTTGACCCAAAGGCAGCTCTTTCAAAGTCAAGCTGAGCCAGGCGTGGTGCTGTGTCCTATAAGCCCCATACTCTGAGAGGTTGATACAGGAGGATTCCAAGTTTAAGCCCAGCCTGGGCAACCTAGCAAGAACCTCTCAAAAATTAAGAAAGGGCTGGGGATATAGCATAGTGTGTATGTGCTGGGTTCCATCCCTATTATCACAAAAGGAAGGGAAAGAGAGAAGCAGGAAGGGAGGGAGGAAGGAAACAAGAAGCTGGAAGACAGAAATATATATATAATCCATGGATTCATGTGATCTTTGTTGATACATTGGGTAAAATAATCTTTTGGAACTACTTTTTAAAGTTATAAGAAAACACATCCATGGAAAAGAAAAACCAAGAGAATGGAAAGATATCATCAGACATGTGGTACACATCTGTAACCTTAGCTACTAAGGAGGCTGAGGCAGAAAGATCGAAAGTTTGAGCCCAGGGCTGGTGAGATAGCTCAGCAGGCTAAAGCGCCTGCTTAGGCAAGCTTAGGCAAAGCACAGGGACTGCGGTTCCATCCCCGGCACCATGTGTCCTGCAAGCCCCACCCCCAGGGCCAGCTGAGCCCACCAGAATCTAGGCATAGTGGTGCATACCTGTAATCCCAGCGCTGGGGAGGCTGAAAGCAGTAGGATCACCACAAGTCCAAGCTGTGTAGTGAGACCCTGCAACAACCAAATACATTTTGAAAGAAAATTTGCCTCCATGTTCAAATTTAGCAAAATCCTGTCTCAAAAAATAAAAGAGGCCCGGTGGTCGATCAATAGATGATTCTGTTTACCAGGTCACCCAGTGACCCCAGCGTGAATCTGCAATCTGATCCTTCCCTGCATTTGTAAAGTTAAATTAAGATATTTTTCTCTAACATTTATTGAGCTCTGGGATAAATAGCAAGTAACTCACCTGGCAGCATAGTTTGAGAGGTTTCCTAAGTTACTCAGAATGCCTCTTGTTCATCAGACCTGGGTCAGGACCAGAGAGCAGGGCATTAATTAGCTTGCTGGCAAGCTCCAAGTCCCTTTCCCATGTCAGGAGCTCCCAGCTAATGTATGCCCCTTGTATCTCAACAGCTTGTCCCAATGGTCATCCGTGTACCGTGGGAGAGGTGAGTCTCGGCATTGGAGGTGTGGGTGGAGAAAATGTGTCCCTTTGGGTCAGGGGCAAGAGGGTTATGGAGGTGGGGGTCTCCGCCTCCAGGGGCTGTGTCAGTGCTGCCACTACATAGCTGTGGTGCTGCAGGTTTCAGCCCTGGACTTCTCCCTGGATGTTGACTACTTGGTTCTTCACTGTACCACCAGTGCTGTGCGCAGTAGTGTGTCCAGCAGCACTCCTGACTCAGCTCGCCAGGGCAAAAGTCGCCCCTCCCTGCAGTGGGCCACCAAGAATGTCTCCAGGTCTTGCCCAAGGTCCCCTGGGCCACAGAGAGGTGCTGGCAGGGGTCAGTAGCATAGAATGGCCTCCTGTGAGCTGGATTCTAGCCAGGCAGGAGGGGTGGCCTGGTACCAGAGAGAGAAAGAGAGACACTTGTGGAGGGTGAGCTGTGGTGGAAGATTATCTCACTCGTGTCTCTTGAGGCCTCTGTATGGCACATCTGCCCTTGCTGAGCAAGGAACCATGTGTTATTTGATTAACCAGAGACATGGTGGGGAAATCCTGATAGAAAGGCTGTCTTTCTGAGCTTCACTTCCTTCCTTAAGTGTGAAAAGAAAATAGAAATAGATTCTTAGCTGGCAGCACATACTGATAATTGCAGCACTCTCGAAAGCTGAGGCAGGATTGCATGTTTAAGCCCAGCCTGAGCAAGTTTGCATCTCAGAAATACCCTTTGTCAACATAAATTCTTAAAAAATGTTAAAAAGAGATGGGTATTTAGCTCAGTGCACAGGCCCTGGATTTAATCCCTGATCCCACCCATTCATCCCTCAAAGGAAAGTTAGATTGATAGATGGGTTGAGTGATTCTGAGCTCTAAATCCATGCTCTGAGAGACTGTGTCTACTATGGATGGGGATTCACAGTACCCAGCAGGACACAACTAGGCTTTGAATAGTGTGTCTTTGGTAACTCAATTTTGTGGTTGGGTTTTGTTTTTGTTCGTTTGTTTGTTTAATAAAATAAAGTCCAGTAGATGTAAAGAAATGCATTGGGAAGCTGCTCATATGGTTATACCTGATGTTACATAATGAAGCACTGTGATGCATATAAGAATGGAAAAAAGTGATAACGAGGAGGAAAGAAGGTGGAATCATATATCTGTCCATAGAGTGCTTCTCTTTGCAATTAAAATTTAGTCATGCTTAATTTTTTTTTAAACATTTATTAATTTATTTAGTGTGTGTGTGTGGCCAGCTCAGCCCACCAGGGGGCGGGGCAGGCTGGCATGTGGCGCTGGGGGATCGAACCGCGGTCCCTGTGCTTTGCCAAGCCTCTTCTAAGTAGGTGCTTTAGACCACTGAGCCATCTCACCAGCCCCCATGCTTAATTTTTAAAAAATAAAAATCCAGGGGCCAGGGAGATGGCTCAGTAGAATAAGCACTTGCCGGGCAAGTGCAAGGGCATGAGTTCAATCCCTAGTTCC